GAGGAGAGGAGAGGAGAGGAGAGGAGAGGAGAGGAGGGTTTTACAAGGTCATTTCAGTGGGTCCAGAAGCCTAACAGAAGTTGTATGACAACAGACACCAAAAAGGTGTCTCTGTTTCTACACTTGTCCTCTGTCATGGTTGAATAGCCCCCATCCCATGATTCATGTCACTCAGAACCTGTGAAGATGATCTATTTGGAAATAAGATCTTTGCAGATGTAATCACAATGACATCATACTGGATTAGGATGGGCCTAATCCAATTACTAGTGTCCTTATAAAAGGGAAATTTGGGCACACGGACACGGTCAGAGAGAAGACTGTGTGACGACAGGGGCAGAGACTGGAGTGATTCAGCAACCGGCCAAGGAACACCAAGGATTGCAGCCACCACCAGCCAAGAAGCATGGGACAGATTCTACCTCTGTGCACCTTGAGTTCAGGTTCAGGACCTCCTGGGCTGTGAGAGAATGAACTTCTGTTGTTTTAAGCCACCCAGCCTGGGCTATTTTGGTATGGCAGCCACAGGAAACTAATACATGGTCCTTCAGTTCATCACCAACACAGCAGCCAGGGGAATCCTTTGAACCAAAGTTTGAGCACCTCCCTCCTGTGCTCAAAATCTCACAACAGCCCCATTTTATTCCAAGAAAATGGCCAAGGCTGACATTGGCCTCCACTGCCCCCCAAGCTCTCTTTCCTCATTTCTACCCTTGCTCACTCTACTGGGAGGGAAAGGACCGGGGTCCTTATAAAAGAAGAGATTAGGGACACAGACACTCAAAGGGGAAACCAGGGGAAGACACGGAGAAGACAGCCGCCTACAAGCCCAGGACAGAGGCCTTAGAAGAAACCAACCCTGTCGATGCACTGGTTCAGATTCTGGCCTTCAGAACTTTCAGAAAATAAATGTCTGTTGTTCGAGCCATCCAGCTGGTGGTACTTTCTGATGGCAGCCCGAGCTGATTAATACAAGAATTATCTCTCGCTCATCACTACTTGCAGAAATTCGTAAAATAAATCCATCAATTAATTAATTAATTAACCCTATTTGGTACATTAATTATCTCTCGATTGTAAGTGCCTGGAAGGGAGACAGCCTGATTGTTTTGGTCACCCTCATATCCCCCTGTGTTCCCTAAATCAGTGATAGACATGAGGGGTGCTCAATAGTTATTTGTTGAATAAATGACTGAGTCATCCATAGTGCTGAGCAAAAGGCCTAATTGGTACTTAGATCTGGCTTTGACTCAGAAAATGAGGAAAGTCCTTGCTATTACTTATTAAAAGCAGTTCGGCAGAAAGAAACTCTCAAAATAGAGGTCAAATGGGAGAGGGGACAAAGGGGTCCCTGGGGTGGAAAGACTGAGGAGGGGAACCTGCATATCTGCCTGTTCCTCCTCAGGAGGTGGTCGTCAGCAGGGTCAAAGCATGAACAGAATAACAGACAGAGCTGCCAGGTGCTCTAGGGACACGAGGCACGATCAGCAATGCTGCTGTTGCCATGACAGTAACTCGGGAAACAGGGCTTCCCCAGGCCCTTCCTGTTCTCCCAGGATTTGGACCCCGAGCCCACACACCCTGGCCATGCCCTCTGCCCTGACTGCCGGCTCACCCGCCTCCCACCTGAGTTCCGCGGGGAATGGTCCATGTCCTTGTGACCGGAGCTCAGCACAGTGTGGCCAAGTAGAACTGGAGTCAGTAAAAGTGGGATGGATGCGTGAATGAACCAAAAACGTCCAAACTGCACTGAGCTCCAGGAACAGGATCAGGCATGGGGGTCACCAAGAACAACATGGGGCCTGAGAGCAAACGGGAAGGGCCCCTGGCATCCTGGCTGGGACGCAGGACTACAAACAGTCCCCACGTTGGAGAAGTTTGGGACAAGTGGGCCACAGGGAACAGCAGCATCGAAGCTGACTTACCTGGTGTCAGAGTCGGGGTCGGTCACAGCTGGGGACTCTGTAGCGCTTTCCAAAGTGACTGGCACTGTGAACATGTTGGTGGTGATGGCAGGAGTGGTGGTCAACGCTGTCCTTGTTGCTTGGCATACAGAACAGATTATATTCCACTCTGCCTGCTGACCTCCCCGCAGCTTGCACATGGCTCTGAGCCTGGGAGGAGTGTGGGCGGCCCTGGCCTGAGGAGCCTGGGGCAGAGCCATGGGAAGGGGCCTATAGCGGCACCACTCCTATCTCCTTGGCCTCTAGGAGCCTCCAGGAGCCTCAGAGGCAGGTGAGTCTGGGCAGATGTCCAGGGAGGACACCAAGCAGGCCCTGGAAGGGTGAGGGGGCCCAGCATTGCCTCAGGTCAAGGGCAGCTGGGGTTCAGCTAAACCTTAAATACTCCCGCTGTTTATGACAGGGCCTCTGCCAACGCCTCCCCCGTCTTATTTATCCAGCAAGGACAAGAGCAGAATGGGGACATGCCAGGTAACTAATATACCCAAGATCTATGACTTCTAAGGTCAGGACCAGCCCTGAACAAAATCCTGATGTTCAGGAAGAGCCTTTACTTTGGACAAGCTATTCCGTTTCTATGCTCAGGAGAGACTGGGCTAGTTCCTTCCCAGGAGCATCGTTACGATTCCATGAGACAAGGAACGTGCTGCCCTGTGCAGCTATAACGGGCCTCCCAGGTTCCAGGTGTGCCGGGGACTCTCTTGAGTCCCCCGACCCCCCGCCATAGGTGCCCTGTGAGCTGGTGCTGGCTGTCTGAGGGTCACAGAAGCAGAGCCCAGCAGATAAATTTGCCCAAACCAAGATACTCCCAGGAGTGTCTCTATTCTAGAAGGTCTTAGGAAGAGAACGTCTCTGAGCCCAGATGCATAAATGGCTCATGGTGGGATCTCCTGCACCCGAATGCAGCTCCGGCAGTGGAAGCCTTTCCAGACCTCAGGAGTTAACCACAGCACCTGGCTCTGCTGGGCCTCTTTCCCCTGAGATCGGATATGGGGCAAGGGGTGGGAACAGCTGCTGTGAGCCCCGGCCCCAAACTCCCTGAAGAGCAGGGACACCTGGGCACCAGAGGTCCCAGGAAAGCATTGGCAGGCATTGGGGTCTCTGGGTCCCATGGAAGAGGGACCCAGGGGCTGAAACTGGGGCCATCACTGTCATCTCTGTGGGCAGTAGACTCAGGCACTGAGCTGTGAGAGAAAATAAATGTGCCCAGAAAGGCTTGATCCCATCCTGGAGGAGGTCCTGGGAGCATCTGAGAGAAGCCCTGCCCCTCCCAACCCCAGTGAGCAGTCGGGGTTCCATGAGACCTCAGGACTCAACCACCCTCTGTGACAGTTCACTGAGTGAGTTCAGTCACTGGAGAGGGACCTCAGGCACCAGGACAGAGCAGGCCCTGAAGAGACAGCCACACATGCACATACTCTTACCTGCGTCAATGGTGACTCTAACTTGGACCCCACGGTCAGTTCCGACTTTCTCAATCCCACACCAGTAGATGTCTGTGTCCTCTTGCCTGAGCTCTGTCATGGTCACGGTGATCGTGCGGTTTCTCTGATTGTCCCTGATGGACACACGGTCCTTCTTCACCTCCTGCTCTGATCCATTGGTTTTAACAAGTATCCTGCATCTCTTCCAATCAGCCCCCTGACACCACCACTTCACATGGGTCTCCCACCCTGTGACATAGCGACACTGCATGGTCAGTGAGCCCTGCTCCAGACCTCTCACTTCTCCTGGACCCGTGATGACATCTGATGAGCCTGGAAAACACAAATCCATGTACCTGTCACTCCCCCCCCGTGCCCCTCCCTCGAGACCAGGGCTGCAGCCTCCTGCGCTGTGAGCAGCTCCAAGAAGTCCAGGGGCCTGATGAGTGGAACAGAGTCAAGGAAGGAATACGCCTTCCGCGACACAGACATTTGGTCCCTCAAGTTCCACTGGATCAGAGCCACCTCGAAGATCACCTAAGAGCACAACTGCAGATCTCGAAGAAACCAACGTTGACTCTGAGCAATAATTATTTCCTATAATTCCCTCCCTCCCTGTCCCTGTGGCCCACAGATCTTTGTATCTCCAGCAATGTCCTTTTGCACCACCTGTGTGAAACTGGCCTCATGGGGAGGAGATAGCAGAGGCCTCACTTCAGCAGGAGTCGGGTTGCCCCTGATCCTCGGTGGCCTGGGGGGGGAGGCCCAGCTGCAGCCCCCGCCTCCCGGTCATGTAGCGGCTGCTCCTCGTGGCCGCGGCGGTTCCACAGGAGGCCGCCCGGCTGGAGGCCTTTGGAACTGACCGAAGCAGTGCCACCGGCTAGGAATCCGCATCACGCGGGGCCCATTCTCTCCATTGCATTGCTTTGATTTCTTTGTCAAAAAGTAAATATGTGAGTTATTTACGGATTTTCCATTCTGACCCATTGATCCATTTGTCTGTCCTTATGCCAATCCACACTCTCCTGACTATTATCCATTTGCAGGAAGCCGGGTATTAGAGAGTGAAGCATTTTCTTATCATGGATGTTCTTCTGGGAGGGATTTCTGTCACCTTTGAAAGATTTGGGATACAGAAAAAAATGTTTCTTTGGTGTAAGCAAAGCATTTAAAGCACAATGAAAAATTACATCTGTCACTAGGCCACAGTGACAGACCCTGGGAAGGAGTGAGGCCCTGGGCAATCTGGAGAGGAGGTGACCCTTGCAAAGAGGTGGCCCCCATTTCACATGAGCCCATTGTCCTCTTGCAGGCAGAGGGCCTGTTTTAGGTCTTTTCATTTTCCTGGAATAGCAGAAATCTGGATTTTGTGTGGAACCTCTCAATTTTAAAACACTGGCTTAATTAGAAAAACAGCAGCAAGTATGAAACAAGCCACTCAGACCCATCTGCCTGCTGACCTGGCGTCGGCGCTCAGCTCCTGATCTCTGCTCAGAAGGGAACCTCTTGTCATAATTTTCTTTGTGTTTGCCAAGGTTTGAAACTAGAGATGCACTAGTTTCACCAAGTTTACCTGGCAGATCTCCATCTCTTTTAGGCTCTGAGATCAGGACATACATAGAGCAAAGAAATTTTTGTTTCTATAGGATCCTGAAAGGTTGTCTACAAAACTATCTGACAAATTATTGGGGCAGATTCTTTCATTCCTTAAAATTATTTTTCACAAATATTGATCTATTTGAGTTTTTTTATTGTTCATCAATCAATTCTATTGTTTTGTTTTTCCCAGGAAGTTATCTATTTTATGAGCATACAGTAGCATATACTGGGATTTTATTTATTTATTGTTTGTTTATTTATTTATTTATTTATTGTAATCCTCACCTGAGGATGTTTTTCCCATTGCTTTTCAGAGAGAGCGAAAGGGAGAGGGGGAGAGAGAGAGAGAGAAACATCGATGTGAAAGAGACGCATCGATTGGTTGCCTCTCACACAGGCCCCAACTAGGGCTGGGGATTGAGCCTGCAGCCCAGCTATGTGCCCTTGACCAGAAATCGAACCTGTGAGCACAGGCCGATGCTCTAACCACTGCGCCACACGGGCCAGGGAATGCTGTGTATGTCTGCGCTGGCAACTGTGGGCGCTGACATGCTGGTGATGAGCGCCCAGCGTGGATGAGCCGCCGGCTCAGGGTCTGGAGGGACTGCTGAGAAGGGCCGTCTGCTTCTCAGCAGGACACCTTCGGGGCCTCTCCTCCGCTGCCGGCCACCTCCTCCTGCCCGTAAGCCTGCCCCGGGAGTCCAGACCCGGGCCCCACTCACCTGAGCCCGGGAGGAGGAGGGGGAAGAGCAGCAGCAGGTGCGTTTCCATGCCCGCGGCCCGGGAGCGTCGGGGGGAGCGCGCTACAGACTGGGTGGCCTCATCTTCCAGCCCCTGCCTTCCCTCACGGTCCCCGGCACACTTCCTCCTCCAGCCGCTTCCCAGCAGCAAACAACACGAAAAGAGGAAGGCGGTGCGATGGGCAAACAGTCCTGGTGATTGTGAACGAGGCTTGAAGTAACACCCCTGCCCAGAGCAGGGCGGTTTCTCTGAAAAGAGAACTTGCGGTCTTCCTGAAACTGCAGACACAGGCCCCAGCCAGGCGGGGTCCGCCCGGTCCTCTCGATGGGGGCTGCTCCACCCGAGGCCGAGGCGGTGGACAGAACACCCTAAGCCAGGGGTCTCAGGTGGCGCCGGGCTCTCAGGAGCCCAGGCCAGTTCAGTCGCATTGAGGACTTGGGGACAGTCAGAAAGCAGGAGGAGAGACTAGACCAGAGGTGGGAGTGAAGGTCAGGCTGAGGGGTTATCAAAACCCAGACTGCAAAGAAAGGGCATCTGCTGTCCAAGGGGCAGGAGGGGCCTGTGTCCTGAGAACAAACCGGAAACCCTCACTGCTGTCGCCCAGCCCTCCAGGTGAGAGCCCTTGGATGCCAACCCCAGCCTGAATCTTCCATATATTTGTCGGTAATGCCAAGGACTCCTTACTGAAGAAACCAGCTCACTGTGCCCTGGCCGGGTGGCTCAGTGGGTTGGAGCGTCACTTATGTGTCACACACACCCTGTGGCATCTCGAGGAGCCACTTGACCTAAGGCCCTCGCACCCTAAAGGAGAGCAGGAAGGTCATTTGCACAGGAAAACACAGCAGCTGACCAGCCGGAGATTTTCCAGGATGTGGCCAGAGCCGGCCCTTCCCCGTGAGTCAGTCACCTCCCCAGGCTTGCAGGTTCCCACTGCGAAAGAAGGGCTGGAGCGGGTCGCCTGCGATTCCTCCTGCAGTAAAGCACCTGTGTGTGTGTGTGCGTGTCTATGCGTGATGGTGGCTCCCCTTCTCAGCTCTGCTCAGTGGGCTTCAAGCTTCTCACTTCTCGTGAAAGTGAGGAAGAAGACGGTTTGCCATGAGGCTGATGGGGCTGGAAGGTCAGCACCCCTCACTTCATCAGGTTCCTTTCAAGGCCCTGTGTCAAATTCTGTATTCATTTAGGTCCTTTCTCCTGGAAGGGGCCTCAACAGTGTATAAGCTTCAAGCCTGTGATAGATGGTCCCACCCTCTACCCTTCGACGCCTCAGTTGTTCTCACTGAAGGGGCAGGGTCTGTCCCCTCCCCCACCCCCCCAGCCCGGCCCCATCCTTGAGCCTGGACCAGACCTGTGGCCTACTTTCCAAAGAGAGCCCAGCAGAAGTAACGGGGCACCAGTTCCAATCCTCAGCCTGCAGAGGCCTCCTGCGTTTCCTCTTGCTCTCGTTCGGAGCTTCTGCCGTGAGAACACGCCGGCTAGCCAGGGGGTAGACGGAGACACNCTGTGGCCTACTTTCCAAAGAGAGCCCAGCAGAAGTAACGGGGCACCAGTTCCAATCCTCAGCCTGCAGAGGCCTCCTGCGTTTCTTCTTGCTCTCGTTCGGAGCTTCTGCGGTGAGAACACGCCGGCTAGCCAGGGGGTAGACGGAGACACAGCAGAGCCAGGCTGCCCAGCCAACAGCCAACCCCCAACACTCAAGGGAGCCCACCTGAGACCAGAAGCACCGCTCAGATTAAGTTGCTGACCCACCAACTCGCTCTGTGACACTGTGTTTGGGATAGTTCATTGCAGCGTTATTGTGGCAACAGGAAATTTAGAGGAGACCCCACAAAACCTAGACCGGCCCTCCAGCAGCTGCCTCACCCTCCACTCGGTACAGCCTTAGCTGCCCCTGGCTCCTGCCCACCCAGCTGCTCTCTGCCCCTCTTACTTTCCCTCAAAGCTCCTCAAGGTTGACCCCAACCAACACCCCTCTCTCTGACGTGGTTCAGATCAGAAAAGACCTTGTGTTACCCATGAGGAGAGGTCCTTGTCTCTACCTGTTGTTCGTGGGAGTGGATTTTTTGGATATCTCAAGAAAAAGAATTTTCTGAGATTTGTACTGGAAAGTGAGTGATTTTTATTTATGTGGAACTAATTCCCTGAGTTTCCAAGGTCTCATTTCCCTTTGTCCTGCCAAGGAAGCACTCCCACTTTGCTTTCAGCAGGGCTAGAATCACAGCCAGTGTCCAGAGTTTCCTGTCCATGTCTGCACAGTCCAATACAGCATCAGGCTAGCTTAGCTTGTGTTCCCCGCTGCAGTCCATCAATCCATTGCATGTGGGGTCTTCATGGTCGTGGCCCATTTGGGCGAATGTAAGGAAGCCAAGAGCAACAAGAGCCAATAGTCACAAGAGAGCCAACTCTTTTTTTAGGGGATTATGTATTCCCAAATTTTCTTGGGCTTGCATTGGCTCCACCCATTCTGGCTAATCCATGGTTCCCCAGGCTTGACTAATAGGCAAGAACCTTCCCTACTCACCCCAACTTCACTGTCAATATGTCTACTTCCCTTTTGTTGGACACCTTCCCCCAGTGATTCTTCAGAGAATGGGCAGGTGGTTCCCCGGGGAGTGTAAAGTTGCAGCTTCCTGGTGAAGCTACCCAAATGACATGCCTATAAAGTCTGGCCTCCCATTTGTTCCTTTCCTATTATTAATAACTAGCTAATTACAAAAGTATCACTTGGACCAGTAGAACTATCTGTGGCCTGTGATTCAAAACAAGACATTGGTCTAATTACAAAAGCAATACATGCTCATTTTAGGAAAATAAATTGTGAAACACAGATAAGGTAAAAATATATATATATTTAATTGCCTCTGATCTCACCACTGTGAGATAATCACTTTTCACATCTTTTATCTCTTCCTGAAGAAATGCAGTTATTTCAGAAATCAAGCAGAGTCACTAATGTGCTATGAGTTCATGTCACTCACTGCTCAACAGTTTTTTNTTCCTGAAGAAATGCAGTTATTTCAGAAATCAAGCAGAGTCACTAATGTGTTATATGAGTTCATGTCACTCACTGCTCAACAGTTTTTTATTGCCAACAGCACTGTCTACTTTGGGAAAAGATGTCCTATAAACAAATACCATCAAGATTTTTTTTTTTTCTGGTGGAAATGCATACAGAGGCTGAAACCCCAAATTCCTCTTGGTCAGTGTAGACTTGCAAACTACAGATAATCTGTTATCATAACCCAATCTGTTCATAGGAGAGGGAGTTCTTGTATTGAAAGGGTTGGGTTAGTTGCATCTCTCCCTCTCTGGATCACAGGTCCATGAGGGCTGTATCCCTAGTGGCTAAAACCACACTGGGCACATAGTAGATGCTCAATAAATAGATGAAAAATGAACTATTTTTACTGCACTGTCATTCTGGCCCTTTAAGCTCTGCTAAGAAACCATGTCTAGCACCTAAGAACCAGTTGTAAACCAGAATTGTTCTCAGCAACCCTTCCTGTACCCTTTTAGTTCACCTGGGTCCCAACTACATCTTGTCTACCCACTATGTGCTATGCTTCATATTTTATGTAGTTATCACATTGAACACTCACTACCAATCTAGAGGGAAGGTGATATTAATGCCACTTTTCAAATTAAAAAAAAAAATCAAGGCTCAGAGAGCAAGTAACTGGTCTAAGGTCGCACGGCTGGTAACGGGAGAGCCAGGACTCCACGGCAGGTGTGGCACACTTAGGCCCTCCCGCCTCCCGCTGCAGAGGCGCAGAGAGGAGCCCGCCACCCGAAACCCTGGTCAGTGCCCACAGCGAAGAAGGAGCCTGACATCAAAGAGTTCATCCCTGAGCTGCTTGTCATCGGGTGTCCACTCCATGGCCGTTTCTAAGGCACATTCATTCCCCCAATGCTACTAAGAACTGGAAACTGATTTAACAAAGCCAGTAACTGGTAGTGCCGACCTTGAACGTTCCCCAGGGGCAATGCCCCTCTGGCCTGCAGCCTATGGAATGGGAAACTAACTGAGCCTCACCCAGGCTCTCCTGCAGAAATTCAGGCAGAGGCAAAGCTTATTTGCAAGAAAAGCACCGGTCCTCAAACAGTGAGTTAACCCTTTGCAGGGGTGAGAAGGTGACAGGGCTCTTCGATTTTTCAGAACAGAGGGTCTGTCACCGTCACCACCTGCCCCTCAGGTATCTAAGGTGTCTAATCCTTGCTGGAACTGACAAATTGGAATAGCTGCAAGCCAGGCTCCCTCTGCCCAGGGAGCTTGACCTTTTTTTTTTCTTTTTTTTTCTAAAGCAATGATTAGTGGGCTAGATTTATTTGGAAAAATAAAATCAAGCATTTGTTCAGCAACAGTTAAGCTAAACACTGGCATTTCTCTTGTTTTCATCTGAGTCGTCCAAACACAGTGTCTCCCCAATAATACGCAGACATCCCATGATTACAAAGTAATGCGCGTTCCTTACAGAAGAGTAATGAAATACAGAGAGCACAAAAAATGCGTCTCAGATCATCCCCAATCCCACACAGAGATAAGCGCTCTTAAGTACATGTATGTATATTGATTACTAAGCTTTTATTCTTTTCTATACAAAAGCAATTCTATTCCAGGCAAAATAACAGGTCACTCATGTGTGAATTTACTTCATCAACTGGTTTGTTAGATTTATTAGGGCTTCTTATTACAGAAAAGTAAAAAAGAAAATGGTAGCCGATAATACCCTCTCTGAAACACCCTGAGTAAACACTGTGGAGAAGGAAACTAATTTTCCTCCTACCCTTTTAAATTCTTCTGGCTGGACTGATAACTGAATTAACATGAGGCAGGTTAGCAGGAGGAAATGACCAAATGCATTACATATGTACATACGGGGCTTCCGTAAGGTTCTGAGACCCCTGGACAGATAGGGCAGTTAAGGCTTATATGTCATCTGGAACTAAGGAGAAGTGGGTGGAAGGGAGGCTGGTTTGGGATTTCAAAGGTCAGGAAGGTAATTCACGGGGAGATAGAAAGGCAAATGTTGGGT